AGGGGCTGTGCTGCAGAGCTGGGGGCACCGGGCGACTGCTCCTCTGCAGCTGCCTCCTGCTCGGGTGGGCTCTGCACCCGCGTGTCGAGGCTGGGGAGCTCAGAGGAGCCGCTGTGGTGTCCTCATCTCCTCAATGCCAGTCTCCATTAAAGCACTACGCATTAACTTAAGAAAGATAAAATCTAATTCAAGGGAGTTTGGAGAGGATTTCTCCCCCACAAATTATCATTTAAATAGATCTGTTCGGTGAGCCCCATCCAGGAGAGAAAGAGCAAACCGGGAGCCTTTTGTTGTCTAAATTGTTTTTGTCACTTGAGTCAGAGCATTTGAAGAGCTTTGATTTCTTTAAGAGCTTCCCTTGCAGAGGGAAACAAGCTTTTAACTTCTGTTCGGGTTTTTTCCCCCTTAAGTTCACTTGCTTTTTTGGAGTCTTCCTTCTCTCTGCTCCTCGTGGGCCTCTCAGCAGCCCCCGGCTGCCAGCCTGGCGTCGGGGGGAGCATGCCATGCTGGGATCACATCCTGCACAGTGGCTGCTGCGCTTGCACTCACCTCAAACCACACTTCACCTCTGCACTGCAATCACTTTGCCCCTGTCTCGTGATCATCAGAGGTGCTGGTAATGTGAAGGGGCTCTCTCACTCCCTGCACAGCAGACATTGTCTGCAAGGTCCTGGTGTGCCCCACAGCCCTGGTGGCAGACTGGGATGTCCCACCCGTCACCAAGGCACAGTGCTGTGGTCTGAGCTGCAGAGCAGCCGCAGTGCTGGGGAGCATCATTGGAGGGGCCCAGAGCAGCACCCCCAGCTGGGCTCTGCCAGTCCCTCACATGGGACCCAGGGTTTGGGCTCTCAGCCAGACACTGGCTGTCACCAAACAGCGTGAGCTGTGCAGGGCAGCAGGCAGGATGTCAGCACTGCCCGGCCTACAGCGGCTGGGGGACAACTGCATCCCATGAAGGACCATGCTGCAGGGTGTGAGAGAACACCAGGTCCTGGTTGGGAGGAATTACTCCTGCTTACACTCAGCTGACAACAAAGCAACATCATTGGCAACAGAAAACCCATCCCCGGGAGACGTGCATGAGGCCAGATCCTGCTGGTGCTTCTCTGCAGCCAACCTGGATGCAGGCTGGGCACTGGGTCTGTGACACCTCAGGGTACCCAGGGTACCCACCCCAGCACAGTACCCTGCAAGAAACCATTATGAGCTCCCACAGTGGGGCTGCTTTTGCATGGAATCCCTGAATTTGGGAGGCAGGTCAGGAAGATGCCAACAGGATTGCTCCTCGGGCTGTGGGTGATGCTGGAGGAAAACACTGGGTGCCCTGCACCTTCCCAGCCTGCAGACTCCCCTGGGAGAAACTGCACAGCATGTGCAGCGATGCCCTCGCACAGTGTCTCAGGCCATACTGGCTAGTGCAGCTCATCTGTTCGTGCTGGGGAAAAAAATCAATTATATCATTGATAGGTAACTGATAAGGTCTCTCAAGACCTGATACATCCTGGGCTTGTCATTGGGTTTGTCCTTTTAGTTTAGCCACAGACAGTGTTTTCTCTCCTTGGAGAAGGTTTGACTGTAAATGTACATGTGTGTTCATTTTTTTACTGTGTGTTGTTTCCCGGCTGCTGGTGTTGGCCCTTTGGCTGCAGCATGAGACCTAACAGCAGAATGGGGCAGGATGTGTCTTGGCCACAGTGCCTGCCCTTGGCTGCTCCTACCTGCTGCCACCATGGCCACCCATGCAGAGCCCCAGCTTGGCTTTCATGCTGGGACCAGGAGCTCCTCACTCATCAGGGCCTCTCTGGTCCCCCTCGAGGAGGGTGTGGGTGCCATGGCTGGTACCCATGCCCAGTGTGCTGCTGGTTCACTGTGACGATGCTGGGGAGTCAGCTGGGCCCTCGAGTGCCAGCTCTGGCCACACTGCCTCAGGCAGATGATGCCCCACACCCCCGAGCAGGAGAATGGAGAAAGCCCTCTCTTTCCTCAGGAATGTGTTCGTGTTTTCCCTCTGGGCTGCAGAGCTGTGCCCGAGCCCCTCTGGCACTGGCCCTTCCTCTAGCCAAGTGTTGTGCAATAGCAGGGCTCTGTCCTAGGAGATGGGGTCTGACAGGGTATGTGTTTAGCAACCCTCCCACCGGGTTATCCCCATCCCTGACCAGCCCGTCCTCCCCGGCGCGCATGCACGCACGCTTGCGTTTTAGTTTCTATCCCACGTGTAAATACGGGAGGAGCACGGTGCCTGCACCCCCTGCCCCTGCACCCGCAGGAGGAGCTGGCAGCTGCCACCATGTCTGATGGAGTCACTTTGGTTTTGTTTCTCTACCCAAATGAAATTAGAAGGTTGATTTCCTCACCCTTGTTATTTTTTCAAGGTCTTTCTGGGACCTGGAAATAAATTATTTCCTTGTCGTCTAGCCTGAGTCTTATGTGCTTATTTCATCTTGTTTCCTTTTCTCAATTTGTGAGTGTGGTCCCATCAGCACCTTCCCAGAGGAGCTGGGTGGCTGCCCACGGCAGGATGGGCCATGGCACAGCCCATCATGACACATGCCTGCTGCCTGCAGCACATTCCCACTGGCAGGATGCTGCATCTCTAGCTTCTTCCCATTTATCATTGAAGTGCTCATCAGAAAAAGCTTCTTCAAGAGAAGGGTCATTTTTTTCTGGCTGAATTTGAAGGAAACGATGGGGAAAAAAAATGCCCTTGGCTTCCTCCGTCCTTTCAGGAGAAAGTTGGGTTGTGCTTTGAGCAGCATGAGGTGCTGGGGGTGTGCTCCAGGCTGCAGTGCTGGTCTGCCCTGTCTGCTTCCCACAGAATCCAACCCAGCACTGGGTTTGGGGTCTGGGCTGCTGCAGGCTGGTGCAGGTTCCATGGCATGGTCCCAGAAGCACAGCCCTGCAGGAGAGCGACAGCAGCTTGTCCTGTGAGGGACTCATCCTTCCTCTCTCCTGCAAAACAACGGCAGAAGGAACAAGAGGCAAATTACGTGCCAAATGACAAGAGAAAGTCAGGTGGTGCATCCTTATGATCTCCCTTTCTCGGCCAACCAAGTTCCTTAGTGTTCTCTAAAAAGTGCATCTTTCATGTTGTTCCCTTGAAGTCGTGAGCAGCCCCATCACATGGGTCCTGGCCATGTGCATCTTCACAACTTCAATCAGCAGGGCATTCTCAACGGCTTTGGTACCTGACCTGTTCTCCTCTTGGTGGTGATGTGTGTTACAGCAGTGTTCAGTTACTGGCCGCAGCAAAAAAAAACCCTCCATCATACTCAGTTTTAATACTGAAATTATGGAAATAAGTGACACTCTGTCCTGACCACAGGTAAATCAATTGCTGGTGGTTTTCTTAATGGCCAAGGACTGGGAAATGATCGATGTGCTCATGGCAAACAAGCATAAACGTCCCTGGGCCCAGGAAGCCTTGCCGAGGCGCGTGGCTGTGAGCACTCGGGCACACGGCAGTGTGGCAGCACACTGCAGAGGGAGGGAGCTGGCACAGAAGGGGACATGGCTGAGCTCAGTGGTAGCCTCAGTGTAGGTCAGCAGATGACAGAGGCAGACTTTAAACCGCTCCATAAAGTGACAGTCATTTAAACAACATCCTGCAGCCCTGACTCCAAAACAGGATTATTGATCCCCTAGGTCTTTGAGTGTTTCTGTATCCTTCACCATCCCTGTGCCTCCAACTCCATCCTGCTCCCTTGATTATTCACTAAATGTTATGGAAGAAGCATCTGGTGACCTTTGATGACAGCAGCTAGTAGGATTCTGTGACAGAAGGGGGGAGTCTTGAGGCTGGAAGGTTTTCAGAGGCACAAGGTGTGCTGCCAGACCTCAATGTGTGTGCGGTTTTCCTTTTCACAGTTGCAGTGAGTGCCTCTGCAGCTGCCAGCCTTGTGGAGGCCTTTCTGCCAGCATCACCAATAGTTGCCCCCACACAGCAAGTCCATCAGCATTGCACTTGCAGCCACCTGCTCCAGCAGGTGGGACACTGGGCCAGTTGCTGTTTGCAGGGAGCTGATGGTCACTGTGTGTTTCCACCTGGGTTTTCAGCCCAGGTCTTTGTCAACAAGAGCTCTCATTATTCAGCTGCAGCCCATGCAGCCTTGCTCTCCAAGTCCTGCTGTTCCACTTCAGGCACCCAAACACCTTGTGACACTGGGAGTCAGGGCCTGGAGTGTCCTGGGAACTTCCCATTGAGGAGGAAGTGCCTGCAGTCACTGTGCTCCTCACAGTAGGGGTGAGAAGTGCCTGGCATCGAGTGGTGAGCCGGGGCTGTGTGGAAGGATTGGCTTCTTGATATTGTGGAGAACTGGAGAGAGCTCAAAGCAACAAATTGCCAGCCAGAACCAGACCCTTCACTACAAAAGAGGAGGATTATTGAGAACTCTGATTGCAGAAGCATCTGTGAAGATGCTTGAAGAGCTCCATGCCTCCTCAACACAGCCCCTTCTGAGGAAATTTTCCTACAGCAGCTTCTCTCTCTCCAGCAGTCACATAACAGCCTCGTAGCAGAGCAGGGCAAGGGCAGGTCCCTCTCCTTTTCCTTCCACAGGAGAGGAAGCCAGCCCAGCACAGGGAGGCTGCATCAGTCACCTCCAATGCCTGCACTGAGCCACAGTGAGCTCCAGAAGGCAAGGTGTCCAGGCCTCCTCTGGAGAGGTATTTGCAAAAGATGGATGTGATCTGCTGGGATCATTAAGGGGAAGTGAAAAAAGGGCAG